ATTTTTTTGGGAGATTCCAAGAATTTCTTATTTTCCCAGTGGATTTTAGTGAAATCCTAATGAATTCTAGGTTATTTGTCTAGCTTGGATCTTATCAAAGCACCCTCATAGGCTTAAACAAGATCAAGGAAACCTATCCCACTTCTCTCTTGCATCACAAAGTGTTTTACTCGAATAACCAAAAAAATGACATCTATATTAGACAGTGGAAGAAGGTAAACCATGTAGCTTGGCAACCTCAAGAACAATTAGCGATACGGGAAGCATTACTTACTTTATTGCATGGAACAAAATGCACCTTCTCCAAAAAAAAGGAACAAACTGTCATTTTTAGGACCTATTGACCACAATCAGAATAGAATCATTTTCGCAGAATGTCTCTTGAGGGTTCATAGAGCTTTGGATAGTTAACTAGTATGAGACTGAGAAACTCTTGTAATATCTCATTTCAACGAGAGCTAGTAAAACCTATACTTGGCAAGAGTAATGTTGTCTTTCTTCATGGAAGTATGTGGGGTCTCAATGACCAGAGTCAGAGACCAATAATGGCTTTTCCTTATGGAGTGGGGGAGGAGAGTTGGTTTCCTTATGGAGACCAATATTGAAGTGATTGATTATGGGTTGGTAAAAAGCATATGGGACCATCGGAAAGTGGTTGATACTTTGTGTGGGATTTTGATTTTATGGGACTATAGGAAAGTTGATTTGATTAAGAGCTTAAGGGGGATTTTTTATATCTGAATGTTTTCTTTTAAGGTCTTTCTTCTTCTTGGATTTTTTTACTGAAGTCTGTGAAAGGGGGGACGTTTAATTAGGCATTTGATATAGAACGATATAGGTGCTTGCCACTCAGTCTTGGAACCGCCCTTGGGTTGTTGGTAGGGAGTTCAACTTAGACCATGAAAGAGTCCTCTATGGAGCCCTGCTCTTCTTGTTCCATGGGGTTTAGAGATTGGGTAAACATAGTGAATCTCAAAATCTTCCCTTTCAGGGAGGACATTGGACTTCGTCAAACTTAAAAGAAAGAGGTTCTTGATTTTCTCGAGCTTTTAGGCTCTGGTTCCAAACCTCATCCAGAAGATTCTCCCTTGTGTCACCTTATCATCCCATTTTTCTGGAGTTAATCTTCTCCAATTGTGCTGCCATTCCCTTCCTCTTCAAGAATAGATAATTCAGAGTAGGGCTTAAATGATTTCTTTCGCTTGTGGAGTCGGACTTGGAGAATTTTGCTAGTTTTAGAATTGCAAAGAAAATGGGCCCATGGTAAGAAAATAATTAAATCTTGTATAATCAACTTTCTTGCAAAAAATCTGCTTTGTAAAAAAAATTATCCAGCGGAATTGATGATTAACAAAAGATTCCCCAATGGGGTTTTTATGAGAGAAAAGTGAGACAATTGGCTAAAGTGGAGCTTGCTAATGTAATGCTTATTGATGAGATTGCTTGGCAGCAAAAATGTGTGGTTTTCTGGTTTATGAAAGGGGACAAACACCAAGGTTTTTCACAAGATGTGTGATTTCTGATAGTAAAAATAAGTTCTTGTCTAATGTTAATGTGGAAGGGAAGGCTTTTGAGATAGAACATGATATAGCCGATGCTATTAAGGGTCTACCCAAATATATATACTGAAGAGGAATCTTGGTGGCCTAATTTGGATGGTTTAGAGTTTAACAAGATCGAAGCTCAGGATGTTGCTTGGCATGAGAGACCATCTTTAAAAATGAGTTCATGGTGCTTTAATTTGTTGCAATGCTGAGGAAGTCCTGGGTCAGATGGCTTCTCTCTGTACTTCTTGCAGAAAATCTGGGATGTTACTTGCGAGAGTGTCATGCTGCTTTTTAATGATTTCAATTAGATGGGCAAATTTTTTGCTTCCTTGAACACTACTTCACTTATTTTGGTTCTTTAGATTGAAGGTGCGGTAGATGTTAAACTGTTTCAACCTATCAGTTCAGGAGGCAGTATCTATAAACTCATTGCTAAGGTTCTCTCGCCTATCGCTTGAGCGAAGCCATTGATTCAGTGGTAGGGGCAACCGACACACCTTGGAAGAGCATAAAATCCTACATGCTATTTTGATTGCTGACAAGCTTATTGATTCCATTCTCAAATCTCGCGAGGCAGTATTTTGTTCAATTACATATTAAGCAAGCCTAGGGTAATGTTTGTTCTTCTTTCTTTGATTTATTTGTTGAATCAGATAGGTTTTGGCAGTTGGTTGTGTAAGTGGATGAAAAGATGCATCATTGTCTCGCTTGCTATTCTAATCAGTTTGCTATTCTAAAATCAATGGGGCTGTAAGAACTTCTTTCCTCCTCTAGATGTCTCAGGCAAGGGGATCTCCTCTTCCCTTTCTTCTTAATTGTTATTATGGAGGTCCTCTATGGAATGGCTCTAAATAGCTAGGTGATTTCTAATAGAATTTTAAAAATTTGCGTAACTACTTAATGTACTTATTCTGATATTTGTCTTTGTATTCTAAATGTGTTGCATGTGAATTGGTGAGTTTCTAAATATTTTTATGTATCTTTTTGTTTTCACAAATATATCCCTTGATTAATAACTATAAATCTTAATTTTTTTTGAAATAAAAAAGTGTTAACTATATAACTATATATCTTATTTTAGTAATTAAATTCTCTCTCTCTCTCTCTCTCTATCACCCAAGTAAATATTTGGATAAATTATATATTGGTCCTTAGCGTGTGTGCTGCATAAATTATTTGTCAATAACGACAACTTGATCATTCCATAAGCTAAATGTATGTTTTTAATTATTTATTTACACAATATAATCATGTGTACACTTTTAATTCTTTATTTTTCTAGGTCTTGTACTTTTGTTGTATATTTTTACTGTATAAAATTAAATTACTTATTTTTTCTGTATTTTAAAGCAGAATCACTTGTTACGTTTTTTTTATATTTAATAATCTTGTGATTCTCACATGACACACATTTAACTATAATGTAACTGAATGTTAAAGGAATTTGACTCAAACTACTCAATATGTTTATTATATTTTTTGAAATAAAAAAAATAGTCTATTTGCTATATTAAGAGAGAGAACTTTTTGAAAATAGTGTATCTGTTTGTAATTAGACAATAACTCAAGTAGCTACGTGTACCTTGCTTTTAATGGAAACCTGAAGTAAGTGTTAGTTTGTAATTTTTCTAAAATAGTTGATGAAATATAATTGAACTCAAAAACCAATAAGCTCATGTAATTTCCTATTTGTCTCTGTAGAATGGATAAACTTTACGGTCCGATCTGAAGTTCCCATAAAACACTATGGTGAATAGGTGCTGATAATTTAATTTCTCTCTTACAGGTCTGGGGAGGCAATCCTGCTAAATTCTTGAGGAAGCTAACTGATGAGGAGATTGTTTTTATTTCTCAGTCGGCCATCAATTATTCCAACCTTGCGCAGGTTCATGCAGCTGAGAATGCAAAGTCATTTGATGAGATTGAGTTTGAGAAGGTTCTTCGCAAGAAGTTTGCTCATAAGGATGAGGAGTATGACTCGATGCTGGGTGTTGTCCGTGAAACTCCTCCGGAACTAATTCTCCCAGATAATATTTTACCAGATAAGGCATCGAAGTCTTCTTAAAAATGGTACTTTGCAATGTTTTGTTTTTTGTTTTTTTGTTTTTTTTTTTCCAATTTAATGTTGAGGGTTAAAAGCAAAAAACATTTTGTTTTATGTCAAATACATGAGAAGGGATAATTTTCTTTCCCAATAATACCAGACGTGTATGATAGAATTAACTCTTTGGTCCAATCTTCCCATGGTTCAGGAACTCCGGCTTGTGAGAAAACAATGCTGTAAAGCAGTATGAACTGGCTATATTTGTCCGTTCTACCTAGAAGTATTCCTGTTTAGCCTACTATTTTTCTGGATATTCATGTTTTTGAGTTGCTTTCTTGTTAAATTCTAATTATGGCAGAAATTATAATTTCAGTATGAGTTTCTAATAGTTGATTGACCAATTCAATAAATTTTATTTGAGATTTTCAGGTAATTTTGTACTTCATATAATTGAAATCTCATTTGGATGATTACTTGGACCATTCATATTTCTGTAACACTGTGGTTACAAGTGTGCTCAAATGCATTTATAGTTTGAACTGAATATAAATATTCAGGGAAGGACTGTAAAGACTTAAAATCTTAAAGAAAAAAATATATATATTGTAATGGTAGAAATAAATAATAATTAAGGGTTTATATTATTTATATAGTAAATTAAGAAGTCTAATAGTTCTACATAAATATATTTTTTACAGTACTTTATGGTAATGGGATAAATGATTAAAAATAAAAGAAAAATAAAAATTTTATGGGGTTAACCTTCATTGGCAATTTTGATGGGGTCCGAGAGGTTACCTTTATTCGTAATTCTTATGCTGTTTTGGTTTTTTTAATCTAAAATTGTTAAATAGAATGATGAATTACATTATCTCAGTAAGAATATCATACTAATTATTGATAGGAAAAAACGAAGGTTGGTAAAAATTATAAAACAACTAATGAAACTATTTATTTAGATAAATTCATTTAACATAAAACCGTTTATTCCATACTTACCGTTTTGAGTTTTCAAAATCGACCTATGAAAATAATAACTCGAATAACATTAATTTCATATCCAAATGAGAAAGAATAACAACTTATATTTTTACCTATTTACCAGTACATCTGGGAGTCCATAGGGGTCCCCTCCTTACGCGTGAGCCCAATATCCAAATTATTGATTAATTGGTCGTCCTCATACCCCGTCCGATAATGGGCACTAAAACATACCACTGCCTCAATACTCTATCCGGTATGAGGGTAAATTATACTCTCATCCATTCCGTATGAGACTTCTCAGCCTCGTTCGACTGAGATAATGCCCACAGTAGAGTTTTTCCTATGCACCGGGTTCGTACACCATTCCCCAAGGTATCCGATAAACCTTTCATACATGTCTTTCACATCATCTACCAACCACCAATTATATACCAATATCTCATATTTGCAAATCAACAGTAAGCGATGCAAATAAACAATACGTAAATCAAGAAAATATAATTAGGTCATTTATTGCAAACGAATTAACAGATGATGAGAACGTAGTTACGTAAGCTAGATAATCGAGAGAACAATTAAAACTAGTAAATTAAAACACACAATATAATAGTAAGTATTTTAGACAGTATAAGAGAAAATAAACAATAAACTAGGGCAAATATACTCTGACCAGTTCTGTCTCCACTAGTGGTCTGTAATTAATTTTAGGGTTTTTTAATTTTCACAAAATACAGCGTTATTGATTATTAAGTTTCAGTTTATCGTAATAGAAAAATGGTAAGAGATTCTTATCCCGGATCGGTGTCTGAAATACTGTACTTTTTACTGCTTCTCCTGGTAGTCCCCAGGTTTCTTAGCTCTTTTATGTGAAAATTAAAAATACTCCAAAAGGCTAAAATATACATTTTAAAACTTTTTTGGTCAATTTCAGGGTTCCAGCACGGCAACGCCGCCGTGCTCCGGCGCCGGCTCTGCCACCCACGGCGGTGGTTCTCCTTGGTTTGGCTGTTTTAGTCGATTTTACACGTAAACCTGCAAAAAATAAAGTTTGGAGGCCTCAGTTGGCTATAAAAGACAATAAATCAAAACTCTACCGGTGGAAGGTCTCCGGGTGCGGCGACTCCATCGTTCCTCCTTTGCAGTCAAGGTTCTCCTTTGACTAACCTGCACCAGAAAATAACGAGGAACACGATGGTCAGAAAGCCGAGAGAAACAGGAAACGGGAAGGGGGTTATTGGAGAGGTTTTTAGATTGTGGCTGCGGTGCCTCGGCCGAGCTTCGCTCGTATTTTTCGGCTCACCCGTCGACCTTTTGACTCTGATATGGGCGTAGGGAGATTCGAGATTGAAATTTTGAACGGGAATGAGAAAAAATACGTGTTTCGACATTGGTGGTGGCTCTGATACGACGGAAACGGTGGTCGGTCTCCTTCTCCGGCGTTTGGTCCTTTCCCTGGCCGCCTTTCTTCTTCTTCTCCAGTTACTCCTTTGTTGGATAGGGTTTCGGTTCCCTGTGAAGAGGAGTTTAAATACTCATCTCCTTTTAATCCAGGTCACCTGTTCGAGCCGACATGGTGCAAGGAGAATCGTCCGACGATTGCTTGTTTAGGCCGATTGCGTGTGCGAATTAGGACCATCCATAACGATCAATGTCATCTATCCGATCATGTCTGAAGGAAAAATATATCTGGGTCGTTCGTGCACGTGGGATGTGATCTGGACCGTCGAATCACCTGGACAAACGGATCACCCGCGTGGCCTCCTACGTGGAGCCGATGTCAACGTGTCTGCCACGTGGCGGGTCTTGAGCTTGTGTGGCTGCTGACATGGCCATATTTTTTCTTTCTACGATTTTACCATATGTTTTTAAATTTTCTTTAAAAAATACCATATCTTATTCACAGTTTCGCCCATTTTTTTAGAATTGTTTTAATTTCGTCCATAATTCTATTTTTTTTAAAAAAATTTCATAAAATTAATTAAATTATTTATATATGTATATATTATTAATTGAAAAATTACTCCGAACAATTTTTCAGACTCGGATATTACAACTCTCTCATCTTTAGGAAAAAATTTGGTTCATCAAATTTTTGGCCCTCTCACTAGTCAAATAGTTAGGGATACTGAGTTCTGAATTCGATTCTAGCTCTCAAGTGGCTTCTTCCTTTGCATGATTCTGTCATAAGACCTTAACGAAGGAAATTTCTCTGTTGTGAAGTACTTTGCTCTTCCGATCCAAACTGTCTACCGGTACCTCCTCATATCACCCATCTCTTCCTAACAGATCAGCAACTTACAGGGTCAGTCATACAATGCCTCATACAAGGTCATGTCGATACTTGCTTGGTAACTGTTATTGTAGGTGAACTCTATTAGGGGAAGGTGATCATCCCAATGGTCTCCGAAGTCCAAAACACAAGTTCTGAGCATATACTCCAGTGTGCGAATTGTTCGTTCTGATTGTCCATCGATTTGATGGTAGAATGTGATGCTGAATGACAGTTTCATTCCTATTGCTTGCTGAAAACTAGACCAAAACTGAGATGTGAACCTGGGGTCTCTATTGGATATAACTGTCATAGAAACTCTATATAGTCTGACTATCTCCCGGATATAAATTTTTACTAACTTGTCTAAGAGGTCGGTCATTTTGATAGCCAAGAAATGAGACGAGTTGGTGAGCCGGTTAATAATTACGTAAATAGCATCATGTCCTGAGTGTGCCTTAGGCAATCTTGTTACAAAATTCATGGTTATATATTCTCATTTCCACTATGGGATCGGTAATGATTGAAGTAGCCCCCCCTTGGGCGTTGATGCTCTATCTTAACCTGTTGATATATAAGACACTTGGAGACTAAATCAACGATTTTTCTTTTCATATCGCTTCACCAAAATTGAGATTGCATACTTTAATACATCTTAGTAGTTCCGGGATGCATGGTGAACTTTGAGCTCTGGGCCTCTGTCATGATGTCTTTTTTTAGTTAACTGTCGTCTAGGACACGTACCCTGTCTTAGAACCTGAGCAACCATTCGGCAGAGACTCACAATTTTGAATTTACTCCCTGTTCTGTATCATTCATAAGAGCTGCTAGGGTGGAATCGGTCAATTGGACTTCATTTATTCTCTGAATTAGCTCATGTTGGACAATTAGATGAAGTTGACATGTAACCCTCTTCAAGTCCTGAAGCTGTATTCGTTGCACAACCCCTATTACCCTACATTCAGAAATAATTAAATGAGCCAACATACTTGTACTTTTTCTGCTGAGCGCGTTGGCTATCACATTGCCTTTGCTTGGGTGATATAAATTCTTACAATCGTAGTTCTTGAGGAGCTCTATCCAATGCCTTTGACGCATGTTGAGATCATTCTGGGTGAATATATGCTTTAAGCTTTTATGATCTATATAGATCTAAAAAATCTCCTCATACAAGTAGTGACGTCAGGTCTTCAAGACATGGATAATGACGGTAAGTTCTAAGTCGTGAGTGGGATAATTTTTTTCATGACTTTTCAACTGTCTAGACATATAGGCTATAACATTTCCATGCTGCATCAGAACATATCCCAACTCTAGGTAGGAGACATCAGTATATACTGTGTATCCACCTGTTCCACTTGACAGAGCCAAAACTGATGCGGTAGTCAATCGCTTTTTGAGTTCCTTAAAGCTCCTTTCGCAATCTTCATTCTACTCAAACTTGATATTATTTTTTGTAAGTCGGATCAATAGAGTGGCTAGGCTAGAAAATTCTTCTACAAACCTGCGGTAATAACTTGTTATTCCTAAAAAATTACGAATCTCCTTAAATGAAGTCACTTTTTTCCAACCGAGTACTACCTCAACCTTTACAGGATTCACTGATACCTCATCCTAAGATATTTTGTGCCCTAAGAAGGTAATATGCTCGAGTCAGAACCCACACTTACTTAATTTTGCATATAATTTCTTTTCTCTGAGAACCTGTAAAACCTAAATCAGGTGCTGAATGTGTTTCTCTCTGCTCTTTAAATAGATCATGATATCATCAATAAATACGATGATAAATTAATCGAGGAACTACCTGAAAACCTTGTTTATAACGTCCATAAAAATATTTGGCGCATTTGTTAACCCAAATGATATGACTAGGAACTCATAGGGTCCGTACCTAGTTCTGAAGGTCGTATTGGAAATATCCTCTACCCTGATTTTTACCTGATGGTAACCCGAACACAAGTCTATATTGGAGAAAACTTGAACACCCTTTAACTGATCGAAAAGTTCATCGATCCTGGGGAAGGGGTACTTGTTCTTAATTGTGACTCTGTTTAATCTCCTGTAGTCAATACACAACCTTAGGAACCCATCCTCTTTCATTGCAAACGTGACTTCAGCA